GAGAGGAGAGGACAAGAAAAGAAAAGAAAAGAAAAGAAAAGAAAAGAAAAGAAAAGAAAAGAAAAGAAAAGAAAAGAAAAGAAAAGAGGAATTAAAAGTGGAACCCCAGAAAGTGGCAGCCCTAATTGGGCTCACGGTTGGTTGGGCCTTTCTTCACCCCAGTAGCCAGAGAGGGGAAAACCAAGCACGTGGTTTAACGCTGGCTGTGGGGTGACCCACTCGGGTGACCTACATAGAGCCTTGGGTTCCCCTCTGTCTCCTCCAGCCATGGCGTGGGGGGACTGCTGTTACTCATCTGAGGGGCCTCCCACTTACCCAACCTGTTGGGGGGGGGGTGCCTCAAGTGTGAATTCAGGGTGAGGACTTTCCGTTTCTAGAGAGGACCCCAGGGCATCAGTTTCCTCCATGCGCTCCTCCTCAGACACCAGTCTCCACCCACTCCCTCCTCCCCAGTGTTCAATTTTCTTCCGTAGTCGGCCCCCTCAATGTGCCTGGGACTGGCCCCTTAAAGAACAGCTGTCGGAGCCCGTGGTGGCACACACCTTTAATTCTAGCGCTCAAGAGGCAGAGGCAGGTGGATGGATCCCTGTGAGTTTGAAGCCAGCCTGGTCTCTACATAGTGAGTTCCAGGTGAGCCAGGGCCACATATGAGACCCTGTCTCAAAATAAATAAAAGCTGTCAGGAAGGCAGCACTTGGAGAGCTAAGGGGCCCATGGCGCTTGGTTCTTCAGTCTTCGGGAGTTTTTCTCTCTGGGAACGAATGCTGTCTACCTTCCCCTCACTGTGAGGCAGAAGCCAGGAGAAAGGGGATATGTGAAGGGTCTCATGAGTGTCCCTGGTGATCAGGACGCTGAGGGAAGTCTCGGGGTTTAACTGTCCCTTCTTCCCCTAATCTGGACCCTTGGCGTTAGAGCCAGGGGCTGGGTGCAGCAGGGGTCCACCGTTCAAAGCTAGGCCATCCACCCCTGCACGCTACCCTGAATCAAACCACGTATGCATCTTCGTGATGGCGCTGGCACAAGCCAGCACAGTTTACATTCTTTATTTTCAAAATTCATGTCCTACAGTTACCCCTACCCCACCCCGATCATGACGTCCCAGGCTCCCCGACGCTCCGGACATCATGATGCACACATTCGCACCGTCAGTCGATTCTCCAGGGGTGCAGACGGCTGTCACCCCACCATCACCGCCCCGAAGAAGGTCTTCCCTCTCCTGGAGTCCACCATGTCCGGGTGACTGATGTTGACGTACACCCTCTCGCCGCTCCGGATCTGCACCAGGCCGCCGAACCCCACGCTCGTGTACCACAAAGACCGGTACCCGACGGAGTCCACAGCAGGGGTCACGGTCTCTGCGCCCTCCAGCAGCAGCTCGGGGGAGCCCCGCCCGTAGGCGCCCCCGGCGCGGTACAGGGCGCTGCGCAGAGTGAGCGAGCGCGCGCGGCCTCGGCCGGCAGGGGGCGCCCTGCCCCGGTACCCGACGTGGCAGTAGAGGTAATAGACGCCGTCCCGCGGCAGCGCCAGCCCGTCGGTGCTGGAGAACTGCACACCGCTCCTCAGAAACGCTTCTTCTTGGCTCGCCTCCCAACCGAGCCTTTGCCCGCTCATCCAAGCGCCTGCAGAGAGGGGCACGCGTGCGATCTCGGGCCGTGATCTCTAGGTTGGGGACCCGGGTAGGGTGAGCGGCACCCAGCGCGGAGGGGCGGGGTCTTTTGCACTTGTGATACTCGGCGGAGAGCGGCAGGAGCTACCTCCCGAGGAGCCTAGAGTGGCGGGATCCTGGCAGGGTTTTACTTGTTTCCAGGGAAGTCAGACAGAGAGAAAACTTGGAAGGGGGGACGCTTCAGGGGCAAAAGGTGGTGGAGGATTTGGGAAAGGGCCAGCAGTGTCATAGCAGAGCCAGAGGACCCTCACTCGCTGTGGGGGTGCACAGCTGGCACTCTTCAGGTCTGCCAGATGCTTACCTATGAGGTGGGCAGCAGGAAGCTCGGGGCTGAGATCAGTTTCTGGCTCCCCCTTTGGCAGTTGTTGAACCCCTGGATCTGGTGAAGAATCCACGGCTGGAGACAGGGTGGTCACCCTTGCAGATGCCTCCTGAGAGAACTGTGCAACAGGCCCCTGGGATGGGGAGCCTAGATTCCCGGAGGATATCGGGGTACGCAGACCAGGGTCAGGAGTCCCTGAGAGGCTGGAGGGTGAGGGCAAGAGGCAAGATGGTTTGGTGTCATCCAGTCGTTTTCGAGCCTGCGCTCCTGAGCCAGTGAGCCTCTCCACCTGGATGTAGGGCCATAGTGCCCAGAGTTCAGATTTAGCTGAAGGCAGCTCCACCCCTCCCCGCATAGAGCCCAGCCCTAGGGCTACCTCCAGCACCTTGCTTAGCGCACGCACGTCTTGCTGGAAGGCAGAGCAAGCAAAGCCTGTGCTCTTGGGCAGAGAGACAGGCACCTGGGTATCAGGAAGAGACAGCAGCCAGGAAGGGGCTTGCAACATCAGGGCAGGACTGCATGGAGAGCAGCAGAGACAGAGCAGACATGCCCCGGGGGAGAGCCAGCGGAGCCAGGGAGGCAAAAGCACAGCCAGAGGTCAATGAACTTCCACGAGTGTGCAGCCCTCTGGTGCCTGCTGCAGCCACTCACCCGTCGTGCCTGATCCTGGGGCACCAAGGCCAGCACAGCCAGGACAGTGATGGGCACTGCCAACAGCAGGGTCACCAGAGAAGTAGCTCCTGCTACAGCCAGCAAGAGGCAGCCCCTCCCCTGGGGTCTCCCACCCGGGCCCTGCAGTCCCCGTGCCCCCATCCAGACTCAGCACCAGGACAGGGGGCAGGGGCTTTCATACCTCAGGGGGTAGGGCCACCCCCTCCCTGCAGACCCACACACCTGCCGGGGACTTTCCGAACACCCCTGCTCCCCTCACACAGCTTCCTGTTTACCCGGAGCTGGGGCCAGGGCGGGGTAGCTGGATGCCTCGGTTCTCTGAACTGGGGAAGGAGACAGGGCAGAGGGAGGATTTCAAGGTAAAGGTGAAGGGGGGCTTGGCAGGGAGGGGAAACGAAGCCCAGGGAAGGAAGGTCGCTTGTGGAAGGCCAGGCAACGGGGACTGTCAAGGCCAGGCAGGATTCCAGATATTTCATGTGGTCTGCATGCCTCTGGACCTCACAGCCCAGTGCTGGAGGGAGAGCTGCACACACACACACACACACACACACACACACACACACACACACACACACACACACAGATTAGGAGATTGAGTAAGAGGCCAAGTAGGGTCAGCTGAGTGTCTGCATCCCTGAAATGGCCCTATCCCCAAACTGGTTGACCTCTTTCTAATTGCATTCCCTAAAACTGAGTAGGAAAGGCAGAATTAATCCAGTCCACAGTGATTCGGCTTCATGAAGGGGCCTCAGCCTTGCTCTCTCTGAGGAGGGGCCGAGGTAGCAGCACATTGATGGAACACTGCCGGGCCACACTCCACCTCAAGGGATTCAGTCCAGAATGAGCCTCGTCCGTTAGGAAGTGCTCACTAAATGATCATAAATGAATGACAGACAAGCAGTTCACTGAGTTTAATGAACAGCAAGAACCGAACTAATGGAAGAGGTGGCTGCTGACTGGAGTCTGGGGAGACTAGGTCTGAGGAAGCTGGACCAAGATCTCAGGTCATCTCCCTTCCTGATGACCCTGCAGCTCCCGTGTCCCAGTCCAGACTATGTGTTTGGGTGATGATATCAATGCAAACACTAATAGAATATAACTAACAGATAGCACTGAGAAGGGGCTGGCCGCCTATTACAGTCTTTATTATACTCTCCATTTAATCTCAACACCGAGGCTCAGAGAGATTAAAAAACTGTGGCTGGGATGGGAGGGGAGCTCATTGACAGAATGTTTGACTACTGGGTTTGATTCATATATATATATATATATATATATATATATATATATTACTGATTTCAGATTTTTACATTTTACTGTATGTAAATTTTAGCTTCCTGTGGCAAGAAAAAAATGAGGAAACAAATACTGAACTTGAGCAGTTTAGAGGTAACATGTAGTAATGCTTGTTACTTGGAAAGATACGAGAAGTAGCCTGGGGATGTGGCTCACTGGGTAGAGTGCTGGCCTGGCGTGCACAAAGCCCTGGGTTGTGGTGCAGCACTCGGGAGGCAGAAGCAGGTGGATCTCTGTGAGTTCAAGGCCAGCCTGGTTACAGAGTGAGATCCAAGACAACCAGGACTACACAGAGAAACCTTGTCTAGAAACAAAACAAAACAAAACAAAACAAAAGATTTTTAAAAAATGAGATGGGTATGTGATTCAGCAAACAAAATGTTGTCTGTAGATCTAGGGCAATGGTTCTCAACCTTCCTAATGCTGCAATCCTTTATGGTTGTAGTGACCACCAACCATAAAATTATTTTGTTGCTACTTCATAACTATAATTTTGCTACTGTTATGAATCATAACGTAAGTATCTGATATGCAGGATATCTGATATGTGACCTCCCAAAGGGGATCGCAACCCGCAGGTTGAGAGCCGCTGATCTAGTTGATAAGAACAGTTTACGGGGGGCTGAAAAGACGGCTCAGCCGTTAAGAGCACTTGCAGCTCTTGCAGAGAACCGGGGCTCAGTTTCTAGCACCCAGGTGACTCACAACCACCTGTAACTCCAGCTCCAAGGGATCCAACACTCTTCTGGCTTCTGATGATATTTGCACTCATGTTTGAGAGACATGAACACAAACATAATTAAAATAATAAAAAAAGAATAAAAACAAATCTTTTGATATATATATATATATTTGTTGTAAGTTTTTTTTTTCTGTTTTTCGAGATATTTGAATTTTGCACGTATGTGTGTTTGTGTGTGGTGTGTATGTGTATGGTGTGTGTGTATATGTGTGATGTGTATAGTGCATATGTGTGTGTGTGGTGTGTGTATGTGTATGGTGTGTTTGAGGTATATGTATGAGTGTGTATGTGGTGTGCGTATGTGTGTGGTGTGTGTGTATGTGTGTGTATTGTGTGGTGTATGTCTGGTGTGTTTGTGGTATGTGTATGAGTGTGTATATGGTGTGTGTATGTGTGGTGTGTGTATGTGTGTGGGTGTGGGTGTGGTGTATGTGTGTATTCTCGAGTGTGAGTGCATAGAGAACAACTTCAGGTGCCTGTCCTGGCTTCCCCCTTGTTTGAGACAGGGTCTGGTGTTGTCTTCTCTGCAAACTCCAGGCCGGGCACTCCCTATGATCTTCCAGGAATCTTCTTTCTCCCCTCCCCATCACAGCAGGAATATGGAATTTCAGAAGTGGTCTCCACAGCCATCTTTACGTGGGTTCTGAGGACTCAGACTCAGGTCTCCATGCTTGAACGGCAAGAGTTTCCACCAATGGAGCTATCTCTACGCCCAGTGTTTGAAATTTTAATAAAAAACTAAGGTGTAGTAATAAAACTTAAAAAAGAAAACCACTTAAATGTGCCCTGTGTGTTCTGCTCGGGGCACCCGGGCAGGTGTGGTGTGGGAAATAAGTCCCACAGGAAACATGAGCAGCGGAGACCCAGGCACCAGATTCACTTATCCTCTGCCTCCATTTTAGCTACCAGCCTTCACAGACTTGGGGTGCAGCACCCCTCTCCCTCTCGGTCACAGTTGAGAGGCCTTTACCCAGGTCACTATGGTCCTCTGCTCAATGCCAAAACGCTGCCTCCAGGGTTCCTCACATCTTTGCGAGCCCTAGCTTGTCACCACTTCCTGAGTCTGTCAGCAGAAGCGTTGGTTTACTCTGGCTGCCTCTCATTCTCCCGCTTCTTAAGCAGTACGCCGATATCCCGCTGCATATGGCTGCCGAACACCAGGATAGGTACCCCGGGACACCCCAGAGCTCCATCTGGCGCTGGAGGTGCTGGGTATACACGCCTACACACATGAACCCTAAGCAGACACAGCTGAAGGAGAATCTGGGGGTGAATTCAACATGGAAGGCCCCTGGAGGAGGTGGACATTCATTCCCAGGGTGAACTGGAAGGCTGGAACTGAGGGGGAACCACCCTAGTGGTAACCGGGAGTCTCAAAGGGGAGATGTTGTAACCGGTCTCCCGTGGCTATACTTCCTCTCCTAGATGCAGGGAGGTACAGAGGCAGGGGAAAGACACTGATCCCGGAGGGACACAAATGCCTGAGGTGGAGAGGTTTCTTTCCACTCAGGTGGCTCTGCGTGGTCGAATGTGTCCCCTCTGGAAACCACAGAGTCTGGGAAAGCTGGGAGTGAGTGGTGATCCTGGGTGGGAGGGATACCTGCTAGGATAAAGGGAAACAGACTGTGGATTTGGGGTTTCCCGAGCCTGAAGGCATCTTCTGCACTCAGATCCTATATCCTTGGAGGCCCCGTGACTTCACCTCCCGGAAATGTTACAAGAATCTGCAGCTGAAAGTGGTGACCGCCCTGTCCGCACTCTGTAGGCCAAGGCAGGAAGACGGTGCATTCCAGGCTAGCCTGGGCTACATAGCAAAACCCTGCCAATAATAATTAACAGTCTGGTCCTGATTCATCACAGCTCCTCAGTCCCTCCCCCTGTCCCCCTGCTCCACAGCATTCCTCTTAAAACTAGGAGGCTCTTGGTTTCAAACTGGTTCTTGGGTTAAGTTAGGAGCCTCTTCCTGCCCTCAAACAGGAACCAGATTAAAGGGCCAGGAAGTGCCTGAGGGAAGTTAAAGGCCTCAGATCATTTTTAGCCACTTCCCCACACCGGCCAAATAAGGCTTTCCTGGGGATGGGTGCCTTCTCTTTACTTTCTCAGTGGTCTCACACCCACTCCAGACCCTGGCTCCCTTGCCTTCATCAGCCCCTCAGCAGCACCCAGGACTGTGCAGTGCTCTGGCCTGCTCTAAGAGTCTCCCCATCCCCACTCTCCCACGCCCCCCCCCCCGACCCCAGAGGAAACCCAGGGGGTCTGGGGACAGTTAAACACCTTCTCTATGACTTCTGGGTCTTCCTTGGCTTTTTGTTTGCTTTTGAGACAAGAGTCTCCCTTTGTAGCCTTGGCTGGCCTGGAACTCACAGAGATCCACCTGTCTCTGCCACCGGGGCCAGCGCTGGGTTTTTCTTGTTAAAGTCTCAGGCCCCTGGCCAGGAAAGGGGCACCATACAATATTATGACGAACAGAACAGCCCGGTGAGGACAAGGATTGTAATGGGGCCTCTTGCCTCAGATGGGGAACTTGGGGGCACGTGACTAGCGCAGGCCATTAAGCCCAGCAAACAGGGATTGGTTTAGTCTCGACCTGGGGCCTGCGCTTAGTCCCGGCTATGTCAGACCCGAAGAGTAAGTGGGGGACCCTCCGCTCTGCAGGGGGGGGTGGGAGGGCAGGAGAGGGAGGGGTGAAGGTGGTGTCCGTGGTTAGGAGAGGTGGTCAGACCCCCTCAGAACTAACCAGTGCAGGAAGGAGTGGGACCTCCAGAGGCCCCGAGACAGCAGGGTGCGGGCGTGAAGTCGGGAGGGGTAAGAGGTCTCAGGAGAGGTAACCTGGGGTATGTGAATCTCTAGAGGAAGTGAGAAGTTGAAGTCTGGGTAAAGAACATGTCATGGGCTGGGATGTAGATCAGAGTGCTCCTTAGCAGGCTTGAAGCCCTGAGTTACAGCCCAGCGGCTCAAACTGGGCACGCTAGTGCCTCCTATAATCCCGGTGCCACAGAGGCGGGGCCGAAGGGCCGGAGGTCCAGTTCATGTACTCTGTGCATAGAGGCTTCGGGGAGT